TATTATTGTTATTATTATTATTATTATTATTATTATTATTATTATTATTGTTGTTGTTATTGTTGTTGTTGTTGTTGTTGTTGTTGTTGTTGTTGTTATTGTTGTTGTTGTTGTTGTTGTTATTAAGCACTAAATATTATAAGTAGGAGTATAAAATTATGGACAAAGACGTAGATAGATAGTTAGATAGATAGATAGATAGATAGATAGATACAATAGATAGATAGATAGATAGATAGATAGATAGATAGATAGATACAATAGATAGATAGATAGATAGATAGATAGATAGATAGATACATTCATTTTACGTTTTCTGTGTAAATCACATTGAAAAACCCGTTAACTGTGATGCGTCTTACTAATAGATGAAGATGTACTGCAGTGCGTCTCTCTCTCTCTCTCTCTCTCTCTCTCTCTCTCTCTCTCTCAGGCTGTTTAGGGTTAAATTAAGTCAGGTTAGGTAAGGTAATTAGGAACTCAGTTTTTGGAAGGTGTGTGTGTGTGTGTGTGTGTGTGTGTGTGTGTGTGTGTGTGTGTGTGTGTGTCTGTGTGTGTGTGTGTGTGTGTGATGAGGGTTCTTATTTGTGTGTGTTTGTGTTTTCAAAATATTATGTTCTTTTGTATTCTCTATATTAAATATTAGACACATATATTATTATGACATACACATATACATGACACACACACATACACACACACACACACAAGCCCTTCATCACAAAAAACTAAAAAAAAAACTCAAATGACTCACATACTGACTATAATTCCCCCAAACCAATTTAACTTTACCCCAGCTTCCAACACAACCACTACTCTCCTTTGGCAACACTGGCACACTTCTCTCCAACACGAGCATGGACATTGGCAACACTGAGGCGGGGAAGTGTTGACAAAATAGTGGGAATCTCTCAACAAACTGTGTCTAGTACAGGGAGGCTCGCAGTGTGTCATCCGCTACAGTTTTCGATGTCCGCACTTTAAAAAATCAATGAATTTTAAAAGAGTGTTTGCCTCGTTGAATACAGAATAATTGTCAGGATAGATTTATTTTGTGGGGGAGAGTAAATTAAATTTGTTCTGATAAAAAATTGTGGAATGGGGGTATTTTTGTTGGGGTGAGGTGGGAGGGGGGAGAGTGAGGAGGGAGAGGGGAGAGCAAACACGAATTTCACTCTTAAATTATAAATATATGTGTTTGTTTGTGTGTGAATGTTTGTTTACTAGTGTTTTTGTTTTTTGTCCTATTTAAGATATGGTACCACCTGTTGTGTGTGTGTGTGTGTGTCCGTATGTGTGTGTGTGTGTTTTAAAATTACCTTTCCTTACATAACTTCCATCAATTGAATGTTTACATAACTGGTCATCCAATCAGAACACAAATACAATATACATCTTCCTTTCCTTTTGGCTGATTGGCTGATTCACTTGGAATTCTGAATTAGTTTCGTCGTCCAATCAAAATTATTTATTCAGTACATCTTGTTTTTCTATTGGTCTATTTACAACTTAATTTTTAATCATTTCAGTTTCCATTATCCAATAAACAATATTAATGTAACATCCTCATTTCCTATTGGTCGACGTTCCGTAAGATTTTTTTTATATAAATATCGTCATCCAATCAAAATCCTTTTATCTCAATCACCCTGTTTTCTTATTGGCCAATCACAAACGCGATCGTATTTTGTGTGATCCAATGAAATTTATGCAATTAATTATGCCTTATTTCCTATTGATGGTGACAGGGAAGGGGGAGGGAGGGAGGGACTTGGTGAGGCAGGGAAGGAAGGAGGGAGTAAGGGAGCGGTGTAGATGAGGAGGGAGAGAGAGAGAGAGACAAAGAGACAGGTATGAAACACTAATTAACAGGTGAGAGCGTCAACACACACCTGGTCTACGGTCCGAACAGCAAGGGAGCTAAAATACTTCCTTTAGGTACAACACTTTGACTTTCACCCTCATACATACATACATACATACATACATACATACATACATACATTCATACATACATACATACATACATACATACATACATACATACATACCGATCACCGTTTAATTATGCTTTATTATCCTCTTTTTCTCGTCTCCTCTTTATCTTCCTCCTCCTCTTCCCGACTTCATGTGTTCCTCTTCCTGTGTTCCTCTTCCTGTCTTCCTCTTCCCGTCTTCCTCTTCCTGTCTTCCTCTTCATGTCTTCCTCCTCCTGTCTACCTCTTCCCGTCTTCCTCTTCCTGTCTTCCTCTTCCTGTCTTCCTCCTCCTGTCTTCCTCTTCCTGTCTTCCTCTTCCTGTCTTCCTCCTCCTGTCTTCCTCTTCCTGTCTTCCTCTTCCTGTCTTCCTCTTCCTGTCTTCCTCCTCCTGTCTTCCTCTTCCTGTCTTCCTCCTCCTGTCTTCCTCCTCCTGTCTTCCTCTTCATGCCGGTGTTCCATATTTTCGTCAACAAACAAGTAAACAAATAAACAACTACATCAAAAAACAAGTAAACAAAAACACCAACGATCAATAAGCAAATAAACAACAACAATCAATAAACAAAGAAACAAAAAAGATCATTATACTGTTTTTGTTATTTTTTTTTTCGAGAGAGAATAATTAATATGATTTTGTCTGAGGGAAAATAACATAATTTAATCTTTTATGGAATGTTTTTTTGTTTTTTACCAATTGATGGCTTTTGTTGATATGACAATGGTTGTATTGAAGGACAGGTTGTTATGTTGTTGTGGAGAGAGAGAGAGGAATAGTTGTGTTTAAGAGACAATAATAATCACACACAAACATTATTGAAACATGTCAACCATTTTTAAGACACGCCACTTATACCCATCTGATTTTCCACCTGATTAAGCCATTGGCACTCTTCCTCTTCCTGCCCTTCCTGCCCTTCCTGCCCTTCGTATGTGTTTTAATATATACTGTATGTGTTTTAATATATACTGTATGTGTTTTAATATATACTGTATGTGTTTTAATATATACTGTATGTGTTTTAATATATACTGTATGTGTTTTAATATATACTGTACGTGAGTAAAAAGTTTTAAAGGCGTGTTTTAAGTTTCTCTCTAACGATCTTCTCACAGTCACAAAATGTTTTAATGATGTTCCAGGACTGTGTAGCGCCTTATTCTGACGGGGTCTCTCCCTCTTGTTTTATAATTGTTTTAATATTGGTGAAAAGTTTTATTAATTGTGATAATAATAATAATAATAATAATATGTTGATGATGATACTAACAACAACAACAATAACAACGATAATAACAAAAAAACTGCAAAAAAAAAATCAATCTCAAGTTGGGACGAGCACTACATTCCCCCCATCATGCGGTGTGTCGTGTGCCCATCTTGAGACAATAACACAATAGGGGCCCCCAGGATATATTACCCTCTGTCCACCACCACCAAGCGATATATTATTTACCCGTTATATTATTGGTGGTTGTATTATATATCTTGTGGGGTATTGTGGGTAATATGACCATTCCCCCCTCCCCCCCCTACCTCCTTCAACCCCCCTACACCCACCCCCCTCCTCCTCCCTCACTCGCCTTCCCCCACCCCTAAATTTTTTTTGTGCCTATCGGTCTGTATGGCTTTGCTCTCTGTTTGTTTGTTTGTTTTTGTTTGTTGGTGTAGGTGTTTGTTTTTGTTTGTTTGTTTGTTTGGTTGTTTGTATGGTTGTTTATTTGTATTGTTTGTTTATTTGTTGGTTTCTTAGTTTGTTTGTATGTTTGTGTTTTTTCCTAGTCTATATTTCTTCCTATTATCTTCCCCAAACTTCTTTATTTTTCCCCATTTTCTTCAGACTGCTATATTTTTCCCACTATTTTCCCCAAACCCTTATATTTCCCTAAAGCCCTCTACAGTTTCCCCAATTTCCCACAAAAACATTAATGAATTCCCTAATTTCCCTCAAAACCATTACATAATATCCCCAAAACCTATTATTCCCTATTTTCTCCAAACCCTCTAAAAATCTCCCTATTTTCCCCCAAAACCCTCTAAAAATTTCCCTATTTTCCCCTAAGCACTCTAAAAATTTCCCCAATTTCCCCAAAACTCTATATTTCCCCCTCCATTCCTGGCCCACCCGCCGTGTTGTTGTCCGTCACAGGATGAAGAAGTTCGACTGGTTGTGGTCCTACGGCAGCGTCCTGTGATCCTATGGGCCCTTACTGACCACTCCTTCCCATCCCTAGGGACCCACACCCTCCTCTTACGCCCCTCCTCACGCTCTCTCTCTCTCCCCCACGTCTTTTCTCTCCCCTCCCCACCTCCCCTCTTTTCTCCCCACACCTTATCTCCCCTCCCTCCCCCCTTCCTCCCTCCCTACACCATTCCTCTTCTATTTTTCATTCTACTTCTAATCTCTCACTTCACCCCTCCTCACTCCTCCCCCACTCCCTCCCCACTCCCTCCTCACTCCCTCCCCACTCCCTCCTTTCCAATCTTGTCCAATCTCGTCTGCTGGGAGAGAAAAATATCTTGTTTTTCCCATCCCTCCATCTCACCCCTCCCTCCATCCTCTACTCCCTCCCCCACTCTCTGCCCCTCCTTGCTTTTATATTTATCTTTCCTCTCTCACTCTCCCTTCCTCTTTCTCCCTCACTCCTCCCCCCTCTCACCTCCTTCTTTCTTCATTCCCCCATCTCCCATTTATCCCCCCTTCTTCCCTCTCCCCTCACTTGCCCTCGCATGACTAAAGGGCAAGTCAAAGGGAAGAAACCTGAGGGGAAAGGGAGGAGGAAGAATTGGGGGAATAAAGAAAGAAGGGGATAATGAAGAGAGAAGGAAGAAAGGGTGGGAGAAGAGAGAGAAGGATGAGTGGGGAGGAAGAGAAAAGAGGAGAAGAAAAAGGTAGAGAAAGATGGGAGAAGAGGGAGGTAAAGAAGGAGGGGAGAAGAGATAGAGAGAGAAAGAAAGGAGAATATGGTGGTAGAAGGAAAAGAGGGGAGAGAGGCAGAGAGAGAGGGGAGAAGAGGCAGGGAGGTAGAGAGAGAGAGAGAGAGAGGGTAGTTATTACAGATAATTAACCATCTCCCCTCTGGCCATTAGACTCACCTACTACTGTTTATACTGCAAGGAAAAAAAAACACAACACGATATCAAAGTTAACAATTCCTGCATCATTCTATTATGGATTATACTGTACAAGTCAACAAAGCAAAAAAAAAAAAATTCTATTGTGGTTCATTTTTATTCACTATTTGACAAGAGTAGAAATATATTACCTGTTTGGATAGTGATTACGGATTAACGCGATGATCATTATTAATATGTCATTTAGTTTTAAAAGAGTTAAGTCGACGGTAAAAACACAAATTACTATTGGAACCCAGATTTTTATTTTCGATATATATACAACGATTCATCATTGTATTAACTTGACATTAATTAGGTCATTTATTTGTTTTAATCGTCAAAAAAATACAATTAATAAAGGATAATATTGTCAATAGTGGATGGTGTGATTAGGTATTTTATTTTTCAGATGCATTAGTGCGTGTACTCTTCACTGTGTTGTGAGGCGCACTGAGGGATGCCGCACCACAACCTTCACATGACATCTGGCAGCGTGAGGGAAAACATATCGTACTGGTAAGTGAATGATTAAATTATTATTATTTTACTTACAGTGATAATTAGTATAACTGATAATTGCAATAACAAACATGCTATTACTACTACTACTACTACTACTACTACTAATAATAATAATAATAATAATAATGATAATAATGAGAACAACAATTATTATCTACCACATTCTAAATACACATTACCACCAAACATTCACCACAAACACTCATTCCCACCAGACATTCACCAACATTCTAAACACACTATCAAACATTCACCAACATTCTAAACACACCATCAAACATTCACCAACATTCTAAACACACCATCAAACATTCACCAACATTCTAAACACACCACCAAACATTCACCAACATTCTAAACACACATTACCATCAAACATTCTTCCACACTCTTTATTTTCTTCTTTCTTTCTTTAGCCAACCATTGCATGTCTAACTCCCAAGAGAATCGATGTAATAACGGGGAATTACGAGAGAGAGAGAGAGAGAGAGACAGAGAGAGAGAGAGAGAGAGAGAGAGAGAGAGAGAGAGAGAGAGAGAACTAGCTCACTGAGAAAATAACGACCGCTCATTTTTAGCAATTCGTTCGCTTTGTGTTTGTTTGTTTGTTTGTTTGTATCAAGACACCAAATTATACCGAAAAGAAAATATTGACCTGAGATTTGAGGAGAAAAAAAATTTGGACTGTGTTTTGTTGACCTGTTTTGACCTTGTTCTTTGTCCGATGGTCGTCAAGTTTAGGTCAAAGATCCTGACCTATAACAACAACAACGAGTCGTCCGGCCAAACCATGTTAGGTCAAGGAGTTTGTGTGTGTGTTGGTTATGTTTGGTTGGGGTTAGGTTGTTTACTTTTGAATTATTATAGATTAGAAATATGGGAATAAAGAGAGAGTTAAATTGATTGTTGGATAGATAGATAGATAGATAGATGGATAGATAGATGGATGGATAGATAGATGGATAGATTGATAGATAGATGGCTGGATAGATGGATGGATAGATAGATGGATGGATGGATGGATAGATGGATGGATAGATGGATAGAAAGATGGATGGATAGATATATACAGTAGAGAGATTTTTTTTACGGGGAATAGCCCACCCGGTCACAGGTCATCGAAAACCATCTTTTTAAAGTGAGACAGATTGTATGAGTATGGAAACACAGAAGAAGGCAGATCATTCCACAGTTTGGCTGTGTGAGGAAAGAAGGAAGTACTATAACGGGTTATTATAGTGTGACCGACATCCACAGAGAAACGGTGGGCACCTCAGGCAAGACGTGTGTTACGAGCCCATGGCCTTGTCGGCGGTACACAGGATGCCAAATCCACCGAACATTGCCCGTTAAAGTACCTGTAAAAGAGAGAGAGTGAAGCAACATTACGGCGAAGAGAAAGGGAAGAAAGATTATCAACTAAAGGAGGAGAGTTAATAAGACGAAATGAGAGATAGATAGATAGATAGATAGATAGATAGATAGATAGAAAAATCTTTAAATATGCCAATAAGTGAAAAAGCATGAGTGTGCTCCATAGACCTGACCAAGTATAACACTCTATATAACAAGGCCAGCACAGACGGCACTGTACTCTGCCTCCCTCACTTCCTCAACGGTAAAGTCAGGTACCTATATACAGCTGGGTGAACTTAAGGTACTCTTGCGTTCGAACCAGGGATGCTTAGGACAGGAAGCGAGCGTTTTATCCACTCGGCCACCGCACCTCTCCAAATCGACAGGTGTATAATAAAAACTAGGCACCTGAAGATTAGCCTAACCTAACCTAACATAACCTAACCTAACATAACATAACATAACCTAACCTAACCTAACCTAACCTAACCTAACCTAACCTAACCTAACCTAACCTAACCTAACCTAACCTAACCTAACCTAACAACTCCCAGGTGTTTAATCATCAGGTGAAATAATCTGGGGCTGATCTTCAGGTGATCCGGAATAACAACAACAACAACAACAACAACAACAACAACAACAACAACAAGAATAACAACAACAACAATAACAACAACAACAACAATAACGCCAACAGCAACAACTAATACTAATAATATCAATAACAACAACTCCTACAATAATAATAATAATACTGTATGAAGGACAGGTAAGTATAGGTGAACAGGTGAGTCTGGCTCACCTTGTACCTGTGTGTTGGTTGTCATGGTGACGGGACGCTACGGCTAGGGGCGAGTGTGAGGGAGGGGAGAGAGGGAGAGGTGAGGGAGAGAGAGAGGGAGACAGAGGGAGGAGGAAGAGGGAGGGGAGAGGTGAGGGAGAGAGAGAGGGAGACAGAGGAGGAGGAAGAGGGAGGGGAGAGTTTAGAGAGCTGAAGAAAGTGAGAGAAAGAAAAGAGGAGAGAGAGGCAAGGGAGGTAAAGGAGGTGAGAGGAAGTGAGAGGTCAAGAAAGTGAAAGGGAGAAGGACAGAGAGAGAAAGGTGAGGGGGAGGGAGAGAGACGGAAAAGAGGGAGATAAATAAGGAGTGAGAGGGAGAAAGGAAGTAAGAGGAGAAAGGAAGACTGGAAGAAGAGCGAATGAGAGGATAAGGAAGAGGAGAGAGGGAGAGAGAAGGAAGGACAGTGAGAGAGAACATGAGAAAGTGTGAGAGACGTACGAAGGAGAGAAAGAGAAATGGTAAATGAGAGAAAAGGTGAAAATGCGAGAGAAAGAGTATTAGAGACAATAAAAGAGACGGAGAGAGAGAGAGAGAGAGAGAGATTATATAATGGAAAGCGAGAAGTCAAGAAGAGAAAGTAAGAGAAAAAGTTAGTTATAAAGAGAGAAAAAGTTAAAGAAAGTGAGATAGTTTTAAATAGTTGGGGAGGTTTAGACTTTCGCTAAGTTTAAATAATCTTGATAATATATGAGATGGGAATTATTATTATTATTATTATTATTATTATTATTATTATTATTATTATTATTATTATTATTATTATTATTATTAATAGTAGTAGTTGTAGTAATAGTACTACCACCACCACCACTATCACCACCACCACTCACCTCCACCACCACCACCACCACCACCACCACCACTTCACCACCACCACCACCACCACCTCACCACCACCACCACCACCACCACCACCACCACCTCCACTACCACTATCACCACGATCACCACCACCAGAATAGTTGTAATAATCACCAGAATATCTCAGCTGACCACGGTAGCCAGTGTAATTTCACGGTTGTGTATATTTCAGGTTTGGGTAAAGTTTTAATGGAAAGTTATAATAATTTTTGGTCCATCCACTACCACTATCACCACGATCACCACCACCAGAATAGTTGTAATAATCACCAGAATATCTCAGCTGACCACGGTAGCCAGTGTAATTTCACGGTTGTGTATATTTCAGGTTTGGGTAAAGTTTTAATGGAAAGTTATAATAATTTTTGGTCCATGACAATACTGATGAATTACCTGAGCCAGAGAGACACCTGGGCTTTTATAATATTTTACCCGTATTTTAATTAGGAAATGTTACCTGTAGTTTCTATGTAATCTTGCTGTATTTTTCTTTAGAGATTAAGAGATAGAAGAGAGAGAGAGAGAGAGAGAGAGAGAGAGAGAGAGAGAGAGATAAGAAGGAAGGTGCTGGGAGAGAGAGACAATTAGAGAAAGGTGGTTGTGGCTGCCGTACGTTGTTAATGGAGGCAATTTGGAGGTAATTGCCATCATTAACGAGCGTTGAGCCGTAGTTCTATCTTTCTATATATTCTTTCTGTTGTTTTGTCGTTGTTGTCGAGTCTAATATCTTCTTGGTGTAATTATTTTCATAACTCATAACAAAAACTATTATACTTTCTCGCCAAGTCTGATATTAAACTGGATGATCGAAAAGTCACTGTGCACCTTGTTCTTATTATAACATAGAATAAGTATAGTATTAAGTATTTTAAGTGCACAGGGACTTTTTGATCAACTTGTATTTTCCATTTCAGTTTTCATTTTGTTTATTCATGTTATATTTTGTTTTACGTCTATTGTTTAATTTTCTTGTTATTTAGGTGGTTGTTGTTATTGGGGTTATTAAAAGTTGTAGGTTGTGGTTGTAATTGGGGTGTGGGTTAGATAGTGAACCTGCAGTGTTATGTTCAGGTTGTGTCAGGTTGTGTCAGGTTATGTCAGGTTATGTCAGGTCGTGTCATAAACAAGCTTGAAATGAGCGTCTAAATTATCTCGCATTTTAGAGGCCGCGAGACAGAGAGACATACATTATCTCTTAGACGTGTGTGTGTGTGTGTGTGTGTGTGTGTGTGTGTGTGTGTGTGTGTGTGTGTGTGTGTGTGTGTGTGTGTGTGTGTGTGTGTGTGTATACTAACTCACTCCCATCCGTGTACACTTCAGCTACAGGTGTTCATTCTCTCTCCCGTTAAGTCATTAGTAGTGTTACCTGCCGTACTCTACCTCCCTTGGTTAATTTACCTGCCAGGTGTAAATGATGGTGCCTGTCAAGTGTTAAATGTTAAGTGAATGTGTAGGTAAGACTGTACTGTGTGTGTGTGTTTTGGGTGGTTGGTTATAGTGGTGATAGTGATGATGATAATAGTGATGATGATGATGATGATGATGATGATGATGATGATGATGATGAAAATGATGATAAAAAACTACCACCACTTCAAGATTTTTTCCCCTTTGACAGGACTTTCCCTTAACGCATTGAAGGTGTAGTGTAGTGTAGTGTAGTGTAGTGTAGTGTAGTGTAGTGTAGTGTAGGCCTCACCTCGCCTCTTACCTGTGATGGTTTCAGCTCGTTAATTTCTCAAGGCTTCACTCCTCTCTCCTGGTCTTGTGAAGAAAGTGAGCCTGTCCATCTCTCTCTCTCTCTCTCTCTCTCTCTCTCTCTCTCTCTCGTGGACGGCTTCAGTGACAGGCTCGTTGAGTTCCCCTATACAGAACAGTTAAGGAGAGTTAGATGAAAGTTAGGGAGAAAGGGGAGAGTGTGTGAGTGAGAGGGCGAGTGGGTGAGTGAGAGGGCGAGTGGGTGAGTTATCTCCTTGTAGAGCGTGAGAGTGAGTGAGAGTGAGTGAGTGGGTGAGTTATCTTTATGTTGAGAGAGAGAGAGAGAGAGAGTAAAAAGAGACAATTTATGTATAACCAAAACAATAACAATAATAACAACAACAAAACAATAACAACAACAAGTCACATTTTAATACTCCAGAAATATATAAAATTCTCGTAAAAATAAAAAAAAAATAAAATATCGATAAAAAAAAGGTATTGAGTATTAATCGTAAAAAAATAATGAACTGAGAAATAAAATGGACATTAGATGATAAAAGTTAACCTCTGGTATTTGGTTCATTTCGTTTTATTATTGTTTACGTGTTTTAGAATACTTTGGGAGTGGTGTTGATGGTAGGGGATTATGAGTCGGTTCCAATATTATGCTGGTGGTGACTTACTGAACCGCGAATGGTGATAATGTGTTTGGTGAGAGAGAGAGAGAGAGAGAGAGAGACTAAAGTGCATATTTTCATTTTCCATTAAAAACAAATTTTGCGTCGGCAAAACAAGAGAAGACAAGAGAGATAGCGAGACACCTGAAGAAAGATGAGAATAAGAATAAAGATAAGGAAATATTTGTGTCTTTCTGGTATTGAATGTATGTAATAGTAATAATAATAATAATAATAGTAATTAACGGTTTATTAAGATAACATGGCAGCCAGAAGGCTGAAAATATATAATAAACAGAGTTAATAAGTTACTTATGGTGAACTAGGGAGTGGGTCACTTGAGTGACAAAAGCTTTCAATACGAAAAGATAAGTAACATGTCGTCAACATATAGATTAACTATAGACCTGGTACTGTGGGAGCTGGTCTGTAGACATTCTTGTGACCTGATATTGGCTCCCACAAAGTCCTTCCCATGGTTCACTACCAAGGTGCTAAGGGCGGCTCCCTCATGACAGCTGTAGATCCACCACGTGGTCCGGGTAGGTCCTCCAGCTCACACAGGGTGTTGGAGATGGTTCCTGTTCCTCATGTGATGCAGTGAGTAATTCATAGTTCCTCACCTGGGTGGAGTAGGGAGTCCTCATTTCTCTCGTGATGTAGTTTGGAGTCTTAGTTTCTCACCGGGTGTTGGTGGTGAGTGTACGGTCTGCGTCAGGTCACCCTTGACCGCTGAGCACTGAGTGTCACTCTAACAGTTGTTTCCTTTTGTAGGTCAGGTGTAGGTTGATCGTCAATCTCTGCTCTGTATTGTTGGTGGAAGGAGGTTAATAAATCTGGTGGGGAGGAGGCCGACAGTCTGACCCTAGCGGCCCGGAGGTGCCGAGTGTACAGTACGTCTTCATGAGAAGTGAGTACGACTACTACTTTTTTTTTATATAAATAAGTAGCTATCGTAGCTGTGTTGAGTTAGTTGAGCCGCAGATCTATGCGGCATTCAGTGACTGTTGCCTCATAATCAATATCTGCAACTGTTGTCGGCTTTGGGGCCGATGCTCTCGTTCCCCTGAGGCAGAGCAAAGCCGACCGAAGGAGAGAGAAGGACAGTCGACATCTCAACCAGGCTGTAACATAACTTCTGGGCTGCTGCTTCTGTTCGGATAGCACCTCCGCGAGTCTGGCGTAGAAGCATCTTGCACTTGGTCCCATCCCACCAGAGGTTGTGAACACTAGAGGAGTGAAGCTGCCTTGATCAACGTTCTGAATTCTCTCCACGTATGCCCTTATCTTGTCGTTCTCGTTCCTCCTGTGTGCAGCATCGAGAGCTAAGTTAAGGTGACATGCGGCCATGGGATTACTACTACTACTACTACTAACACCACTTTTCTTCGACTACGCCTTCTACCACCATCACCACCACCGTTAGCTACTACCGTCACTATCACCATTACCACTATCAACTCACTACCACCACCATCGACTAGTACCATCACCATCACCACTACCACTACCACCACTCAACAAACTGGATTAGTTACCACACTCACTTGTTGAAGACTCTACCACAGACAGTCTTATCAGTGACTCCCTATCCTCACTACTTGCTCTTGTCACCAGCAGCAAACATAAACTTATTGACAAGTGTATCAGGATCAAACTGCTGTTGATCCCCTCTCACGTAGGCCTCAGAGAACATGACAGAGTTGATGCCCTCACCAAAATCACGTCTAACACTGTTGAATACAATCTGGGTCTGTCAAATATGACTTTAAAAACAGTAATCAGGAAAAACTTTTTGATGAATTTGAAGCCAATAGACACGTACAAGCTGGCACTAGTCAATCCATTGTTTACCATGATGTATCAAGTAAAACATGTATATGGAACAAGTAACAAGATCACTAGATTACAAGATGATGTAACCTCTGACAGTATATCCCTCAGGTAGATGTAAACAAAACTAAATTTAAAGAGTGTGACCAGACATATGGCCACGCTCCCCAACTTAGAATGTGAAAAAATAGAACCATTTAGGGACAGATCCAAGCACACTGTGTATATATTGGCACAACATTTTATCTCTGATGGCAAGATAACTCAAATATTAAGACTGGGTCCACTTTTTTACACCTAGTAGCCGAGTCAACTAAACACACAGTAAATGACAAAGTGTGCAGCCAAACATACTGCTTCACACTGTAGTGTTTCCCTCACGCGCTTCTGTGTGTTTAGTTAACTCCTGTGTACAGAACCAAAGAAACACTGTATTGGAGACCCTCTGTACCACGCCATGCCTCATTATCCACAACACCGGGTCTTTTGTCACCTCCGCTCTGTAATTCTTCTTGTCCTACCGTTTACTGGATGAGTATTGGGTGCACGATAAACTAGGTGCTGTCTGTGGCAAAATTCAAATTTATTACCACCACCACCACCACCACCATCACTAATCTACCACCACCACTACCACCACTATCACTAATCTACCACCCACCACCACTATCACTAATCTACCACCACCACCACCACCTACCACCACCACCACTCACCACTAATCCACCACCACCACCACCACCACCACCACCACCTACACCACCACCACTAATCCACCACCACCACCACCACCACCACCACCACCACCACTAACTCTACCACCACCACCACCACCACCACCACCACCACCACCACCACCACCACCACTAACCTCTACGACCACCACCACCACACCACCACTAATCTACCAACACCACCACCACCACTATCACTAATCTACCACCACCACCACCACCACCACCACCACCACCACCACCACCACTACTACTAATCCACCACCACCACCACCACCACTACCACTAATCCACCACCACCACCACCATCACCACCACCACCACCACCACCACAACCACCACCACCACCACCACTACCACTAATCTACCACCACCACCACCACCACCACCACTACTAACCACCACGCCATGTCCTCCTCTGTGTAATCACAAGAACTTGGTCTCCAATCTTCTGCAAATGGAGGATTCGCTAATCACTAGGAAAATCATGTTTTTTAATGGACGTATGACCTGTGTGTGTGTGTGTGTGTGTGTGTGTGTGTGTGTATTCGATACTCAGGAACACAAAATATCAAATTAATGTTAAACTTACGATTTATATCTAGGAATTTTAGTGAATGAAGGAACGAATGTAGTGAAGAAATTAAATGAAAGCAGGGAGGAATGTAGTGAATGAAGGAAGGAAAGAAATGAAAGAAAATATTAGAAAACATATCCTCTCGACGATACCTTAGAGACGGAGAGAGAGAGAGAGAGAGAGAGAGAGAGAGAGAGAGACTCTCCCCTTATTCGTAACTGTTCCCTTCTCTCGCTCTCTCTCTCTCTCTCTCTCTTCTAGGTATGTTACTCTTCCTAGTACTTTCACTCTTTATTTGTCTTAGCTATTTTCTCTCTCTTTCTCACTCTCTCCCTCACACTCTTCTTCATACTCTCCCTCACGCCTTCCCTCACACTCTCCCTCACTCTCCCTCACACAGGTATGTCACTCTCCCTCACTCTCCCTCACTCTCCCTCACACAGGTATGTCACTCTCTCATACTCTCACTCAACAGGTGTGGGATGATCGTGGTTGCTATGCCAACCTCCCCCAACTCAATACCTGCTTGTGGGAGAGGGAGGGAGAGTGGGGGGAGAGTCGGGGGGGTTAAAGTCGCTCCCTCTCATTGTTCATATTCTCTCTCTCTCTCTCTCTTTGCTATTTTCAAGTTTAATTATCATTCTCTCTCACTTATTCGTTCCTTCTCTCTCTATCCATATATCTATCTATCTCTCTGTCGCTGTTTTTTCTCTCGCTCATTTTCTTCATTTCTCTCTCTCTCTCTCTCTCTCTCTCTCTCTCTCTCACCAAAATTTACCTGTAAAAAGTTTTAAAAAAAATTTGCCTTCATTAAGTAACGATAAAAAGCCAAGCCAGGTGTCAAGGGCAGAATGGCTTGAAGTATGTATGTATGTATGTATGTATGTATGTATGTATGTATGTATGTATGTATGTATGTACAATAAACAGGGACAATAAAGGTCACATAACAGTAGAGTGGGTAACGTGATTGACAAGTAAAATGTACCATAAACCGAGGGATCTCAGGTGGGCGCAGGAGACGGTCTCCAGAATCGTGTGAACTTGGTCTTAAGAACCGCCACATGAACTTTCTTCAGGTTACCATTAACTGATGATCGGGGCACACCTTGGCCACTGTTGTCGTCATCCTCTTGTTGTACTGGGGAGTGAACTGAAGGATCAACTCGTTTTACTGTCCATAGCGGCTGCCAGGCACTTAACAGACTCCGCTCTGGACAAGCTTCACCGTACTAGAGGTCGCCCGGTGCAGTACTTGGTGTAGGTAGAAACTGACTCTCCTCGCACCTCCCCGTCATCAATCGGAGGTCCTCGAGGACAAAGCAGCAGAAGGAGTCACGCCTTAGTATGAGCGACCACCACAACGGAGGACGGGGTGTCAACACATTTTGATGATGTGAAGACATCTGGAGTGGATCCAAGATACTGAAAGTGGGTAACATTAGAGAGGGTAGTACCGTTAAGCTGGATGGATGGTGGAGGTGTGGCTGAACCAGGAGCAGGCTGAAAGAGAGAATTAGAGTCTTAGGTACATTCACCTCAAGGTCGAAGTGTGTATACGTATCTGCGTAGGTGTTCATGGTTTTCTGTAGGTCGCATTCAGTGTGAGCGATGAGGGTGAGGTCCTCTGCATATTTAAGTTCAGTGATGGAAGCGGCCGACACCTTTGTTCTTGCCGGAGTCGTCTTACGTTGAAAAGACCCTTCATCCGGTACCGGATGTCCACCCCGCCGGCTAAATTGGTATTGGTATGAGTAAGGAAGGCAGCCAAGAAAATGGAAAAGAGAGTTGGTGCCAGTACACATCCTTGTTTTACCCCCATTTGCATGGGAAGAACTCAGACTGGGTGCCATTGTGCAGGACACTGCCGTTCATGCCATCATGGAGTTGCCTCACAATGGCGATTAATTTTGGTGGGCACCCAAAAACGGCTGAGGGTCCACCAGAGGGCTTCCCTGTTGACCGAGTCGAAGGCCTTGGTTAGGTTGATGAAAGCCATGTACAGGTCACGACGCTGTTCTCTGCACTTTTTCTGTATCTGGCGGGCAGCAAAGATCATGTCAGTGGTGCCACATGATGGTATAAAGCCACATTGAAATTCTGAGAAGTTTTCCGCCTCAGGAAGAAGTCTGTTTAGGAGGACTCGGGCGATAATCTTGCCAGCTACATACAGCAGTGAGATCCCGCGGTAGTTGCCACAGTCTGACCGGTCTCCCTTGTTCTTGTAAATATTGACAATGGTGGTGTCTTTAAGAGCTTGGGGTATTTCCTCCTTTTCCCATCTATTCTCCAGGAGAGAGTGGAGACGGCTGGTAAGCAGAAGTCCTCCTGCTTCATGCACCTCAGCTGGGATTCCATCAGGCCCCGAGGCTTTGTTATTTTTCATCTGTTTGATGGCAGTAGCTACCTCATCCTGGGATGGAGGATAGCTGAGGTGGGTCAGCTCTGGATACTGAGGGACCTGCTGGGTAGTCAAGACATTCACATCTGTGTTTCGGTTGAGCAGTGAATGGTAGTGCTCTTTCCAGTAGTTGGATCATAGACTACCTAATGGAATTGAAAACTTCGCTCTTCTTCCTCAGACAGCTCCCCCCTAAACCTAACCCACTTCAGTAACTCCTCCTTCAACACAGTAAAAACCCAAAGACTGAGGTTGGGATTTTATTTTTCACTGATATAATTGGTTTTTAAGTTCTAATTTTTTTTATAATTACCTGAGAGTATTTTTTTCAGGTGGGAAATATGTTATCGAAAATTTAATTAACCTGTGAACTAGTGATGGTGTTTGTGCTTGTTTATTTGTTTGTTTGTTTGTTTTTATATGGGTGTGTGTGTATAATTTTATTGGGTCTCTCTCTCTCTCTCTCTCTCTCTCTCTCCCCAGTATTTTAATCATAGTCCTGTCTATTGAAGTCTATCGTGATAGACATCCAGCAAATAGATAGTTTACCCAATTACAATCTATCGCCTCAGCCTCCAGTTAATAGATAATTCGACCAGTCCCAATTTATCACAATAAACTTGGAGGATTAGACAAAATAGATATATCGACTAGTTCCAATAGATCGCAATAGACAGTTAATAGACAGTAGTTCCAATAGATCTCAATAGACAGTCAATAGACAGTTGTAGTTGTTCCTATCGACTCTTAATGGTAGGAACAGACCATTAATTTCGCCCCACATTAACTCCCATATCATTCTTAACTCTTTCTGTGTGTGTTTGTGTGTTTGGAGTTAACTTGATGATGATATTTTATGTTTGTAGAGAATTTGATGTGTAATAATAATAATAATAATAATAATAATAATAATAATAATAAAAGGTTTATTAATAGAGTTGCAGCCGGTGTGTGTGTGTGTGTGTGTGTGTGTGTGTTTATGTATGTGTGTGTTAGTGTACGTGGGTATGAAATAAGGATTTACATGTGTGTGTCTATATGAATTATTAAATGTGTTTATGTTATTCAAGGAAGAGAGAGAGAGAGAAGAAGAGAAGGAGACAGAAGGTTAGACAGGAGTATAGACACAGAGAGAGAGAGAGAGAGTGTGTGAGCTCAGTCGCGTGATCAGAGGTCGTTTATATCCATAGCGGTGTACTGTTCCTTAACGATGGTACTCTGGGAGAGAGAGAGAGAGAGAGAGAGAGGATAAATACGATCACACACTAACATACATACATAGACCAACACACGTATACGACAACACACACACACACACACACACACACACACACACAGACACACACACACACACACACACACAAGCATTTGCAAATTTACCTGTCAATTTCTCCCTTCTGATATAAACAGCTGTCACGTCTGTCACTGCCATAATATCACTGTCATCTTGACCACTCTGTCTGTCTGTCATTCCAGCACGAACCAGGGGTGTTGTCGCTGAGGTTAAGTGTACCTGCCCATTGAGCCACGGCCACCTAGATAAGGTCAGTTAAGAATTAAAGTGCATGTATGTATGTATGTATGTAATAATAATAATAATAATAATAATAATAATAATAATAATAATAATAATAATAATAATAATAATAATAATTAACGGTTTATTGAGAAAGTTCAGCATCCCGAAGGCTGAAAATATACTTAGACAAAAATGACTTATTACATACAGAGACCTGGGGTGGGTGGGTCGTTTAACAAAAGCTTTCATTACTAAACGGAGAAGGAACAATGATTGAACATACAAATTATTATAGTTTACAGTTGATGGCCCGGGCTGGTCTCTTGCCATACTGTGTGAGGTCACGTAGGCCACGTGGTGCAGTAACTCGTCCTCGGGTGTTGATATGAAGGACCTCACGTGGTCCTGGGGACACTGGGTGGTGTGGGGGTGGTGTCACAGTACCTCACTCTGCTGGGTGGTGTGGGGTGGTGTCACAGTACCTCACTCTGCTGGGTGGTGTGGGGTGGTGTCACAGTACCTCACTCTGCTGGGTGGTGTTGTGTTATCTCATAGTCAGGTGTAAAGGCGGCCCTTTGTTGTTCCCAGGTGGACTGATTAACACCTCCTGGTCAGAAGATGGCGGTCAGTTCCCAGGGGTGCTTATCTCACTGGTGGGTCACTGCTCTCACTGGTACTGTCTGGTGCTGAATTCACTGGCTTAAACACTGTTCATCACTGTTCAACACTGATCCCACTTCTTTCCGAAACGAAATTGTCACTTTTGATTATGTTGATATCCCGGTAGTGAAGATGTGTCTTCTTGTATAACACATGCAGTATGTATCCAAAGATTCATTTATATACACTCTTGTATATATGTATTTATTAATTTATTTATCGTATTTTTTATTTTTTTATTATGTTTATTAAATTAATGTGTTTATTAGAACCGTATTGCACAAAGGATAGGAATATTAATCTTTGTGGCGTAAGTTAAGTGAGTCAGTTAGATACGTTCTCACATCACCAGTTAGGAGGAAAATTGAACTTACGAACCTTTGAGAATCTTCCACCATACCGATACCAGAAAACGATTTAACCACACAGATAAAACACGAATATTTACGTGATAGTCTGCTTGTCTGTTTGTCTGTTTGTGTGTTTGGGCGCCAACTGTCAGCCCCACCAACCGGCCTGTCAAACAAACTGACAATGGAAGGTATAAGCCCCGACGCACCACGCAAACACACACACAAACACACAAACACACATAAGGTCCATATCTCTGTGTGGGGGCAGGCGAGGTAGTGAGGTGAGGGGAGAGGCGAGGTAGAGAGGTGAGGGGGAGACTGTCTCAGGTGTCAGGTGGTATAATGCTTCTTCTCACGAATTAGTCTTCATTTGTGTCTTTATATTTATATTTATGTGTGTGTGTGTGTGTGTGTGTGTGGAGAGAGAGAGAAAGATAGAAAGACAGAGAATGAGAGAAAGGGACTAAAAGAAAGAATGACAAGATATATTATTATTATTATTATTATTATGTAAAACCACAATATTGACCTTCATCCTCCTACCGGAGAGATGAGAGGCGGAACGGAACAGAACAGAACGGAACAGAACAGAACGGAACAGAGCAGAACAGAATGAAACAGAACGAGACAGAAGTGAACAGAATGGGACAGTATGAAACAAAATTGATCAGAATGGAACAGAACGAGACAGAACGAAACAGAGTGAAACAGAACGAGACAGAATGAAACATACAGCCAGACATCTAAGTGACGATTAGAGCAAGAGCTTTAGTGTGGGCTAAGGTTAGGTTAGGTTAGGTTAGGTTGGGGTATCACGCGACCATGGTGACGTGTGTGGGGGGAGGGGGTGAGAGGTGGGGTGGGGAGTGGAGGGTCAGAAGGGAGATTGTTGGAGATGGGAGAAGAATGGTGGGGGAAGAGATAAGGGCTTAGTGGGGAGGAGGGGTGGTGGGGAAGTGTTGGGGAATACATACATACATACAAGAAAAAACGATGCTATAAAATACGAGAAGACAGACAGACAGACAGACAGGCAGACAGAGAGATATAGAAGTGAGAGACAGGGAGAAAGACGGAAACAGACAGATACATAAGAAGATAACATTTTTAAAACATAAAATTCTCGAGTTAAAATAAAACATTAAAACACCAAACACCGTAGTAAAAGAAAACATCCAAACAGCAGACCCAGAGAAGCAATCCCTTCACCCCTCTGTTTGACTGCAGTTCATACAAGCATCCTGACAACACACCCAGGGCAATTAAACAAACACAAACACACACACACACATACACATACATACATGACCCTCCACATACAAACTCCTGAGATTTAAATCCAAGCGCTCTACAACCCTACCTGACCTTCCAATCAAAATATACAAGGAGTTTGCAGTCGAACTTGCCACCCCCCTCTGTTCTATTATTAATGCATCCCTCAGACAAAGCAAATGCCCTAATGAATGGAAAACCGCATTTGTCACCCCTATCCCCAAGGTCCCCATCCCACAGTCCCCTAACGACCTCAGGCCAGTTGCCATTACCCCCATACCCAGTCTACTCTGTGAAGACTTTGTTTTTGAATGGGCATTTGCTAGTATTTATCAGTCAATTAATCCACAGCAATTTGGCAATATGAGGATCTCCTCTACATCACACTGCTTAGTTAGTTTCCTGGATTTTCTGCACAAAAACATTGCAGAAACGTAAGACATCACTGGCCGTTGCCCTTGTTGACTTCAAGAAGGCTTTTGACAATGTTAATCACTGTACTGTTATCAACAAGGCCGTTGCACTATGGCTGCCTACCAACCTGGTCTCATGGCTCACTGATTTCCTGAGTGAGCATCGTCAGGCAGTGAGGTACCAGGGTTCTGTCTCCACATTCCAACACCTCACCTGTGGTGTTCCCCAGGGGACCAAGATGGGACCACTGTGCTTCCTAATCCTGATCAACGACGCTCTATCGGACACTCCTCACAAGTGGAAGTATGTGGATGACTGCACTGTGGGGGTTACGGTGGACAACACCTCACCGGACTACTCATCGCTACAAGGCACCCTGGACAGGCTACAGGTATGGACTACGGAGAACAAGGTCACCATCAATCACACAAAAACCGTAGTCATGCACTTCAATATCGCCATCACTCAAGTGCAAGCTCCTGCAGTTACAGTGGGTGCCCATCCTCTCCAGATAGTGCAGTCTGCCAAACTCCTGGGTGTAACTATAGACCACAAATTGGACTGGAAGGCCCATGTAAACAACACTATCGAGGCAGCAGCATTCCGACTCTACATGCTACGACGACTCAGGTCACTTGGGGCACCCACGCCAGAGCTGAGGACTATCTACAACGCTTTTATTCTCCCTAAATTAACGTATGCGTCAACTCCACCCAACAACGCCAGCTAGAGAAGGTACAGAAGAGGGCCTGCAGAATCATGCTCGGCGCAGATTATTCCGGCTACAACAACGCTCTCTCCACCCTGGAAATGCCATCCCTCAGTGACCTCCACCACCACGCACTAGCAGGGTTTGGCAGTGGACTACTGCACTATCCTCGTCATCGCCACCTTCTGCCACCGGCAGTCCCCCGCCCAATTCTTGCAGTCCGCCACTACAACAAAATTCAGCCCATAAGAGCCCGCACTGATAGATATAAGAACAGTACCATCCCATCTATTGTTAAAATAATAAACAACTCCTGATTTATGTACTGTACAGCCCTGTAAATGTATTCAATGTATATCATTATGTCTAACTCAAATGTAAGTTTGTATATTTTCAGCTACCGGCTGCAACTCTATTAATAAACCGTTTATTATTATTATTATTATTATTATTATTATTATTATTATTATTATTATTATTATTATTATTATTATTATTATTATTATTATTACATACATACATATAAACATACATACATACATACATACAGGGGGGCAGAAATACAGGTTAAATTCATCTGACATAACACACAGATGAGAGCACCTGTCAAGTATGCATGAAACACAAACAGGGAGTATAACGTGTAAGTGTATAGGGAGGTAGGGAGTGAGGGAGAGAGAGGGGGTAGGAGAAGGAGGGAGAGAGAGGGGAGTGAGGGAGAGAGGTCGAAGGAGGGAGGGAGAGGGGGGAAGGAGGGAGGGAGGGAGGGAGAGAGGAAGGAAGGAAGGAAGAAAACAAGAGAGCAAGTAAACAAGGGAGCAAACAAGTAAGCAGATAATCAAGTAATGTTGTAATCAAGCAAGTAAACAAATAAGACAAAATAATTTATTCAAGCAAACAATTTAATCAAGCAAGTAAACAACTAAGTAATAATTTAATCAAGGAGGTAACCAAACAAGCATACACGTAAACAACCAATCAAACAAAAAATAATTCAGATCTTGAAGGAGAAAAGCGAAAATTCAACCAAACAATACCCTCAAACAAGCAACGACCAGAAGCAAACAAGTATCCTAGAACGATGATCAACGCAAACAAGCAAAAAACAGAATGAAAACAAACAAACACAAGAAATATAAATGACTCAATCAAGGAAGTTAAAAAAAAAATTAAACAAACGACTCAAAAAAGGCGAATGACTCAATCAAACAAGCAAGGACTGGAATCAAAACAAGCTCCTACCTGTGTACCGAAAAGCCCGTCTCTTGACAACTAGCCGATACACGACCCGGGAATAGAAAAGAAATAAAAATTCTCTCTCTCTCTCTCTTTCTCTCTCTCTCTCTCTCTCTCTCTCTCTGAATGACATGACGCTGGCCAACCCGGAATTATTAAATAGCTAATCACACACCAGCCGTGATTGGAGGATTGGGGGAGAGTAAGAGAGTGTGTGTGTGTGTGTGTGTGTGTGTGTGTAAGAATAGTGGAAATATTTGACAGGTTGTTAGAATTGTTTATAAAGTGTGTGTGTGTGTGTGTGTGTGTGTGTGTGTGTAAATACAAACACGTATACATTGACGCACAGACTGATAGCCAAATATGCACAGAAACATAATG